AGGCCCCGGGTGGAACAGGAGGAGGCCTTCAGCAATGGCAAGGCAAGTGTGCCAGGTGGCAATTATGACCTCAAGTGCCCCTGGCTCCAAGGACCTTAGGTTGAGCTTTTGAGTGCGGGATTAGTGGAGATATTGGAGCATTCGTGACATCGCCTAGGTATGTATACCTGTAGATCAGCTAAGGCGTCTCCTCCAAAAGTTTCCATTTGTTTCCTAGACCTGATTGTCTCATGAGTAATGATGGCTGTCGTGGGTGCAGGAGTGGGGTTGGGCTTATTTCAGACCCAATGCATCACTCAGTCCTCAGCCTGGACTTGGAAAGGGCCTCAGGAGCCAGACATGTCACTGGCCTATCATAACTCCTGCCCACCAATGACAGACTTAGATCGACATTCCTGACTTTCTTTGGGCTTAAGCAGAGCCTGTGCCACTCTCATGTTGGGAAGGGTATAAAAAACCATCTGAAGTTTCCCAGCTTGCATTTTTCCCTACAGCGTTTTCTCCTTCCTTGCTGATCTCAATAAAAACTTCTGTGCATCTTTGTTTTACAACCAGCTCATGCTTTCTTTTCACAGGTGACTGGCAATCTTAACAGGCAACTGCCAGCTCATAACTTTCTGCAAGGTCTTGTCCACTTCATGGCCCCTCCCAGGTCTTGCAACATCCCACACTAACTCAGGAACCACAGTCCCCCATACTTGTCTCTCCCACGCTCCTTGGAGACTGGGCACTGTATGGCTCACCAGCAGTGGGCCCAATCCTGCTCATCCCAGCCACCATCCAGCCTCCAATGGCTCAGGTCCTTCCCACATTCACAATGTGTGCTCCATAGCTGGAATCCCAGACTCCATTCCTATTGTAGTGCTGCCTCACCACCCCAACCCCACATGTAGGTAGTTCACCTTCTACATGTTACAGTCTTGTGTTGTTGGTGCCCTGAATCTAGTGTGGATGAGACTCCTGGCTGGGATTCCTTGATCCCGAGTCTAACTCTTCTGTGCAATTCAGTTACTGACATTCTCAAGGAAAGGAGTGGAAAGTTACTGTTTCTTAACAGCCTTTATACCTGTGTCTTAAAAACACATTTTTAGAAAAGATTTAGTTAAGGCAAATACACAGAAGGACATACAGAGAGGGAAATCTTCTGCCCGTTAGCCAACTTCCCAAGTGGCCACAATGGCTGGAGCTAACCTGAAGCCGGGAGCTTCTTCCAGGTCTGCCATGAGGTTGCAGGATCCCAAGGCTTTTGTCTAGCAGGCTCCAGGATCATTGCAGGTGAGCTGACAGTGCTCCTCTGCAGCAGAAACGCTGGAGACAAATTGGTGGAGAAGGATGTCTGTGTATCTGAAAAAGTTACAGTCTTATATATATAGTAGCAAAAAAGGGCGGGAAGAAGGGCAGTATGGACAGTAGCCTACCCAACAACCACATTGTGACTGTCTAATAGGTAAGTGCATCTCTTAGAGCCCTCCAATGAAATTAAAGATCTTGAGTTATGTCTCAGGGCAAACTCACTACCTGCCGAAAAGCAGAATGAATGTATTTGACTTCCTAGAGTTGTTTACCAAGGAAGTCCTAGCCTAATTCGTTAAAGAGGCAGAGAAGAATGGCTGGGGTGCAGCCTACTTACTGCTCTTGCTGCAACTTAGTGAACAGGCCAGGTTAGGGTCTCAGTTAGCCGAGACTCCTGTCAGGAGTTCCACTTCCTGCCACCCACGACACTGGGGACTCTGTGTGCTTTGTGCCTATGATTTTCCACATGGCATAGGCAGGCAGAAATCCAGGGTTGACTTCCCCATATTTGGGCCATCCTTCACTGCCCTCCCAGTCCACAGACAGGGAGCTGGATAGGAAGAGGAACAGCTGGGACAGGAACCCACAACCACAAAGGATCCCGAGTGTGCAGCATGAGGATTTAACCACTAGGCCAACATGCTGGCCTTTAAAAACCTATTTCTAAAATTTATTTGATGGGCCAGTGCAGTGATTTTTCAGGTTAAGCTACCACATACAGTGCCAGCATCCTGTATGGACACTGTGGAATTTCAGCTTCTTCACTTCTAGTTCTGTATAGGTGGGAAAGCAATGGGGAAGCCCTTACACCCACATGGGAGACCCAGATGAAGTTCCTAGCTCCTGGCTTCTGTTCTATCCTTTCTATCATCTGGGGAGTGAACTAATAGATGGAAGATCTCTTTCATCTGTCCTTCTGTAGCACTGCTCTTTAAGTAAAATCTTAAAATATTTGCAGGGAAGAGCAAGAGAATGAGGAAAAGATGGAGACACACACACACACACACACACACACACACACACACACACACAGACTTCCAATGCAACTTCTTAAGAGATAAGTTACATTTAGTATCCATCAATAGGAAAGTGATCACCAAAACACAAAGAGAACTTCTCAGCACTGTGAAGATTAGAATCAAAAGGAAGGAAAGAGAGAAAGAAAAGTACCTTTATTGGGATGTGTGTGGGGGAGGATTGAAATGGGAATCTTCAAAAGGGTAAAGAGAACATTAAAAACTTTAACAGTTAATTTAAGAATGAAACAGAATATTGCAATTTCTGAAAAGAAAAAGTGGAGGTTCCTGCACAGTAACATATAAAACTTCCACGAGATCAGGAATTTCTCTTCCAGAGGTAGACACAGAGCATTGGAAAAAGATCAGGAAAGGAGTTTGCACACGCATGTTCACAGTGAATTGTCTTAACAGTTAACAGGTGGAAGCCACTCAGGTGTGTAGGATGCACAAATGGATACCCAACAGGTGGTAACAATGGTGTATATTCTGTGTCCTTCTAAAAAGATGTATTTGTTTATTTGTGTGTTTGAGATGCAAAGTTACAGAGAGGCAGAAGCAAAGGCAGAGAGAGAGAGACAGAAAGAGTGCTGGGATCCATGCAGTGGGTGTGGATGACACAAAAGTGTGAAGAGAACATCTCCCTTGTTGGCAAGGCCACAAGGAGCTTCCAGTTGTATGGCAAGACCTGATGGATGTCTCTACAACCACCTCAATGTAGTTGTACCTCCTTTTGCATGGACACTCAACCACGGCTCTAAGAATTCTAAAATCTGTTGAGGCATTGTTGTTTGCCGCCATTAGATGGATTTTGCAACCAATGTGAGCTTGGGAGTTAATGTTGCTGATAATGTCTTGGTGAGAGGGCCTTTAAATACCCACAGAAGTACAGTTAAGCCATGTCCACCTTATTGTGGGCTTAACTATTGCCCCGGAATCTGGCCCAGACATGTCACGTGCCTTCTGGGAAATGGCTTGATAAGAATCTACAAACTAAAGGAAGTGACAGGAGTATGAGCTGAAATTGCTATGGCAATAATCATAGTTACTATGACCTTAAAGGTTAGCTTGCTCTTGCAACTCGTTGGTGCATAGAAAATATAACTGTTTTAGTCACTTTTATAATTTTTTGGCTAAAGGAATTATAGGGTGCTTTTATTAATATCATAGGGGTTTGCTTTTAATAATTGACGTTCATGGTGTTGTAGAGCCTGCTGTTGTAGGGGATTTAAGTTTGAAGCTTTTTGTCTTGGGTCTTTGGTTTTCCCTTTTGATGTATTTCTCCCATTAGGTGATAGATAAGTTGTAGCAACAGAAATGTAGTAGGAATGTATTACTAACTAGTAGGTAACTGCATATGCCTTGGCTTCAGAGTTCTGGCTGTTGCCTAATGGCTACTACTGAAGAATGAATAATGACTTGCTTTAAAGAAACTGATTATAGTAACTCACAGAATTATCTTTAGGAGCATCAGGTTGACCGTGAAGTAAAAAATAATTGAACATCTGTGCATGCCGGCTTAGTCCTGAAGTTAAAGATAGCAAAATCAAACATTTGTGCAGAGGCTAGTGATATGTCTGAGTATATAAAAAGTACAGCTTCTTGAGCTGTTACAAGAGGGTACCACGTGACAGTGTGTGTGTCTCTTCTTTTCGCTGACTCTACACACCTTTCCCAAGCTCCGAACTTGGCTGCAGCTGGCCTCCGGTGAGAGTGCAAGAGAGAGAGTGAGAGAGGGAGAGAGAGAGAATGAGAGAGGGAGAAATCAGTCTTTGGTGAACTGGTTCACTCCCCAAATGAACAAAACTCCTGGGACTGGTCCAGGATTATGTCATCAGCCTGCAGTATCTCTGGATCCTCTATGTGTGTTCAGGAGCCCAGACACATAAGACGTCCCTGAAGCTTTCCCAGGTCCATCAGCAGGAAGCTGGATAGCAAGTGGAGCAGCTGGGACATGAACAGCAGTCAATCTGAAATGTCAGCGTTGCAGTCAGTGGCTTAACTCACTATGCCCACACACTGGCCATATATTGTCTTCTAAAAGAGTAAAAGTCTGTGACATGCCAGTGCGTGGCTCAGCATTAAAGGTGGTATGCTAAGTGAAACAGCCAGCCTCCAATAGACACAATTCTGTCTCCATGGTGTGTGAGCCACAGCAGAATGGGGGTGGAGGAGGCAGGGGGGCAGAAAGGAGGTCAGGGAGTTCATGTAGCCTGCACATCAAATGTCAGTGTGGGAGGAGAACATTCCAGAGCTATGTGGTGGTGGTATACAGCACTCTATACAGCTGTACAGCAATGGAAGGTGCTGATACTGTTGCCCATAAAAAAAACCCTGAGTTATGGCTAAATGGCAACTTGACACTATGCACCTTTTACCTCAATTTCCATGAAAGCTTGAAAGAGTAATTTTCACATTTTCCATGTGGCCCTTGGTGTAGAACGAGAATGTTGTAGGGATGCTGGATTGAGTGGACAGAACATGGTGGGTTTGGAAGTCTGAGGAGCCAGGGAGATGTAGCAGAATCTGAGTGCCATTGGGTGGGGAGTGGGCTGGGACACACTAGCCAGGTGTGGCTGATGACCAAGGCAGCCTCACCTGAAGACAGTGCAGGACAACTGGCCCTGGGGAATGGCACAGGGAGAATGGGACTTTGGGTCAGCTGTGTGCAGGCACTCTTCTGTCCATCACCTGAGCTCCAGGGAGGACAACATGCTGATGATGGGGAGGTGGTGAGGATGGTGCTGATGTGGGTGATGCTGATGATGAAGAGGGTCATGCTGATGACGGTAAGGATGATGATGACTGTGGTAATGAGGATGGCGATGTTCACCATGTTGGTTATTTTGAAATGGCTGATGATGCTGACACTGAAGGTGACAGTGATGATCCCAATGATGACTAAGGACTAAAGTTTGTGTGAAATGCTGTTGGTGGCAGATAGTGATGATGGTGTGCAGCAGATGGTGAGAATGCTGGTAGTAGTGGTGTGGAAGACTGTGTTGGGAATGATGATGAAGATGCTGAGAGGGAGGGAAATTTGACATGGTGATTGTGATGACAGTAAAACACAGGAGAACGATGCTGACAGGAGGACGGGATTTTGATGATGGTGTTGAGCTAGTGATGGTGATGAGGAAGTTGAAGGGGAGGATGATGATGATGGTGGTGAAGAATGTGATGCATCAAACAAGGTGATAAGTGAGTGAGCATTCATCATCATCATCATTATCACCACCATCATCATCTTCATGGTTAGCTCTTCCTCCCCACCGTCAATCAATGTCATTTTCTCATTTGCTATAATCAAATTCTTCAACATCTCCTCAAGAGTCAATCAGAAGTTTTGGCCAAGGATTTCTTCTGTGTCTTCCACATGGTATTTGGGTTTCCACACTGCTTTCCCAGCCATGTAAGAAGGAGCTGGACTGGAAGTGGAGCAGCTGAGATTCCAACAGAAATCCATATGTATGTTCGCAGTTTAGATGCTGGCTTCACCTGTTATGCAACTTGAGAGTCGATCAAATTTCTTTGAAAGAAAAATAGCTTTAAAATACAAATGAAGACTGCTAAGAAGCAGTAACACTTTCTCTCTCTGTTCCCTTCTTTGAGAATGTCAGTAACTGAATTGCGCAGAAGAGTTAGACTCAGGATCAAGGAATCCCAGCCAGGAGTCTCATCCACACCAGATTCAGGGCACCAAGAACACAAGACTGCAACATGTAGAAGGTGAACTACCCACATGTGGGATTGGGGTGGTGAGGCAGCACTACAACGGGAAGAGAGTCTAGAAACCTGGCTTGGAGCACACATTATGGATGTGGGAAGGACCTGAGCCATTGGAGAATGGATGGTGGCTGGAGTGGGCATGGTTTAGGCCCACTGCAGGTCGGCCAGTGAGTGCTTTGTTCCCTAAGGAGCAGAGGGACCTGCACAGAGCAAGGCAGTCCCTGGGTGAGTATGGGATACTTCACGGCCTGAAAGGGCCACACAGGAGTAAAGTATGAATCTGCTAAAACTAGCAAGCTGGAAAACAAATGGAAAGGATTCAAAGAGATGGCATAGCTGATTGCACCTGTACCTTCACAGGCACCTACCATGGCTGCCCGATGTTTGAGAAGCACCCTAGCTGCCATGGAGCTTTTAGGTTAGACTGAAAGTTGAAGGTGACAAGAGCAGCCCACTCCTCACAGGTGTCCTGTGCTCCCTGTGTACCCAGAGTAGGAGGATGGTCAAACTCCAATACAAGAAGCCAGCTTTGGGCAGGACTGGCATTTTGACACCAACAGAGGGCCATGCATTTATTCAGCACTCGCCTGACCATTGGACTGCCAACCATGTGGGACATGGAGACACACGATGCTCCTTGAGACTTGTGTCTAGTTTGGAAAGAAATTTCCAAGCCCCACTATCTCACTGAACTATGTGGGCATGACATGGGAGATGCCAGGAGTTACAGTACATCCTAGTCTTAAGCTGGGAAAGCACTGGGCTAACTCCATCCAGGCATATGCAGCCCAAGTGAGGGACACATGAGCTAGATAGTGGCTTGAATCCCAGAGTCAAGAAAATCTCATGTCCATACACTCTTCATTTGCTCCACAAGAGCCTGAAGAGTGTCTGTGCCCAGGTGGGTACAAGCCTGGGAGTAGAGGGTGAATGAGATCCCGGGAAGAGGGGGCTTCAAGTCTGCTCAGAGCTGGGGACAAGCTGAGTCTTGGCCTCTCCCAGTCCTACACCTGCCACCCCTCAAACACAAATGTTTCTTTCTGACACCAAGAATGCCTGGGGTGTTCATCCGGTGCTTTGTGGAAAAGAAGACATGAAGGAAATACTTTTCTTAGCACACATGTCCAATTTGAGGAAGGAGGAGACTGACACCGGACTTGGGGGCCGAGCACTGGATGTATGAAGGGCAGACCAGGTAGGGAGCAGGCAGGGCAATCCCAGAACTCAGAAGAGTAGACCATCCACAGGTCCCAATACCCAGCTAGAGTACAACGAATTCAGGAATCCTGCAATTTCATCCGGTTAATGACAGTTCATAAGGTACAAGAGGTGCCATGAGGCAAGGTCTTTCTTAAGCCTGTGCTTCCTTTCACATCTTAGAAATACTGTTGGCCTCAGGCTTGGAACAGCACCAGGCAGCCCATTGGCAGAAGAGCTGGAAGGCACGGAATGAGTGGCAGATCTAAAGGTGTAAAATGTGTGCTCCCCTCCTGCTGTGTATTGGACAAAGTGCTCCCTGCAGCATTCTTACCAGGTAGCTATGAATTGATTCCTATTTCACCGAGGAGGAAAGAGGATCACAGAGAGGAAGGTGGGACTTAATCACAGCCTGCTCACCTGAGGCTGAGCCCCACCCCTACCCCACTCCCAAGAATGTGCCAGTACTCCAGTGCTCCCCGCCATTGTACCATACACCAAGCTGGATGTCCCAGTGCCTGGGAGCCTGACCTTTACTCTCTCATTTTGCTCCCCTTCTTTGTTCCTGATAGATTTGGTCTGCCAGGATCCTGCCCCCAAGAAGAATGGAAGCTCCTCCTTTCCCCACAGAGACCCACTTTAGTCAGTTCAGAATGTGTGGCCACTTCAGAGTGCTCGACAACTTGGTCCCATGTGTGGGATGCTCATTGTCCTCCTGCTGGGAGCCAGTCAGGCAGGTATGGGCACCCTTCTGGAGAGGCCAGTGACTGCCCAACGTAGGCTGTAGGGGCAAGTGTGCCTCAGGCATTCACACCCTGGGGCTGCAGCCCAGCCCTGAGATGCGGAAGTCCAAGGACACATGAGTCCATGCATGCAGGTATCCATCCATGAGTTGCATTCTACGCTGTGGCTCTTCTCAGACTGTCCAGCCTGCCACCCCTGTGGAGGATCATGTTTGTGCCATCATCACCCATGGCAGGTGCAGAACCAGGGACTTAAGATATGGTAGAAAACACAGGGTGCAAGATGGCATACTGCCACCTGGGCACTACAGCATGGCCAGCTCCAGTTCCAGCTCAGCTTGGGACATGGTACAGAGCCAAGGCAGAGAGCAGCACATGCCAGGGACTTGGGGGCTGTGACACAGAGGTGAGAAGTTTCTTGAGTGAGTTTACTTCTTATGGACAGGAAGACCCAGAGATGGAGCCGGATGTGCAAGCACAGGGATCAGGGCAGAGGCTTCTGGAGAGGTGGAGCCAGCCTGTCACTGGCTCTGGAGGAGAATCGGCAGCAGCAGAGTGGCAGATGACAGCAGCACCAGGAAGACCCTGGGCCTGTACACTGCACCCGCATCAACCACGTCAGGAATAGGTATGTTGATTATGACAGGGGGCTTCTCCTCAGGAGGGGCTTTGGAGGGATTTGGGGCGGGGTTTACCCGCTGCTTCTCCTTGATCCAGTTGGCATAGTAGGTAGTACTGGCGAAGACACTGGGACCGATGGGACTGCGGCAGTCCCAGCTCCAGCTGGTCACTCCCACCAAGTGCCAGGCGCCTTTCAGGAAACAGACCAAGGGGCCCCCAGAGTCTCCCTGGGGGAATAGACAAGAGGGAATAGACAAGTTATTAAGGATGTGGATGGGGCAGGAGGGGCTCTTTTCCTGCCTTGCATGCATAAGCGAACAACAAGGCAGCCAGGCATCTCCTTTCTCTGTGTGAGACAATGTCAGGAACACAGGGAGCAATGTCAGAGATCACATGTGCAGGGACCACAGGAGAATGCAGAGAGGAACTGGCACCAGAGCCTTGGTCCACAGACTGCTGGAACCCACAAAAATACACAGGGGATTCCTAGGGAGTAGGACAGCTGCCCTCCACCTCCTGACAACTCTTAACCCCCGAGGAAGAAGGCACAGCCTTGAGTTCCATGCCATGACAAGCAGGCTGGTCAGCTGGGAGCACAGCTTGTGGTTTTGTACCAAGTCCACAGCCCAGCACTGTCCCCAGCCTGTGCCTTTACTACTGACATAAGGTCTCCAGTGTCTCCTCAACTCCTTGGTTGAGCTTCTTTAGAAACTTCCTTGGGGTGGTAGATGTGTTGAGGTATGGGTCCTCATACATGGCTGAGCAGAAGGTGGTAGGGGTCCGCTACCACCATGAAAGACCCCATCTCAATATGAAGGTTAGGCGCAAGAAGTTCCAGCCATGCTCTGAGTGTGGCTTGAGCCAGCGGGAGTGATATTCCAATCCCTACCCTTCAACCCCCTCCAAAAAAGCAAAAATGTACGGATTGATGGTATGTCAATTTGCAAAATCAAGGTGAAGAGCTGCTTGGAAAATGGAACTGCTGAGCCAGCGTCACCATGATGCCAATGGAAATCACTGTACACTAGGTGACACAAGATGCTAATGGCCTGGACCAAAATGGTGTAGGGAAGTTGGTAAGAAAAGGTCTGGGCTGGTCTGAGGAAGAGGAAGTCGGGGTTCAGGCAGTGTCCAGAGAACACACACACACACACACACACACACACACACACACACACACACGGGACAGAGGGTAGCTGATGCAGGACTGTGGCACTTACTCGACAGATGGACTTCTCCACCCAGGTGTCTCCAGCACATATCATGTCTTCCTGTAAAGTCACAACCTGTTCTGGTGGCGTGCCGATAGGGGGTATGAAAAACCTGCTGCAGCTGTCACTATCTATGAGGCTGACCTTGGCCTCCTGCAGCTGGAAGGGCGCAGGCAGAAAAACTGCAGGAGGAGACACAGATGTGAGCAGCTGGAGCCGCCCCTCCCCTCTAGCATGTGCTTCTCAGTGAAGGGTACCAACATCAGTACACAGGGCTGGAGACTGCATCTCTGAGATTTGCTGAGCCCAGGAGAGACAATGGGGGTCCCAGGGTGCAGGGCATGCCATGGGAGGAATGGGGATGCAGACCAGGTTGCCCACCTGGGCATGGGATTTGTGGTGGTGAGAAAGAGGAGGTACAAGCATTACAGGCCCAGGGCAGGCAGGGTGTGGGGTTGGTTCATCCTTTGCACAGAAAGAAACAACCGTAGGGCTTCCCTGAGCTCCCAGTAACCCCTGTGCTGGCTGAGTGTGCTCAGAACTGGCACAAGAAGCGATGGATGCTGGGTGACCTGGGCTGGCTGTAGTACTGGCAGAGTTGACAGGGGCCATGTGGGTTTACCAGATGACAGCTGTAAATGGCCCTGTTTAGGAATGGGTGGCTTCTGGACACATGGACTCTGATTCCAGAAGCCACCCACAGGTTCTTCCTGGGTCCACGTGGGGCAGCACAGGGTGACAAGATGATTCCCTCCTGTGCAGTGCTTGCTGTGTGTGGGCTCATACTCATTAGACTCCAGCAACGGATGCTGAAGGGCTATTGAAAATCAGCTGCTCCCTGCCCTGATGTCTTCTCCAACCCTGACCCGACTTGGAGCTGTGACTCTACACTTGGAGCTGCCTTGGACAATCCTCTTGGCCCTGTTCTTGGAGCACAGCTGAGAGGGACACTCCTCTCAGCTGTGCCAGTGCCTGGGCGGTGTGACTGACACTGGGGGTGAGGAGCAGGGATATTAATGCTGGCCTAAGCATTAAAGAAATCCTGCTTCACAATTGGTCACCAAGATCTTCTGCCAGCGTATGAGCCTCCTGATCATGCCAATATCACCTACTAATCTTATTTGGTCACAATGGTATTACACCACGTCACTCGTATTTGTTCTAGTGTGATATTCCTCTCTCCATGCAGACCACCCTCCCTCTTTGCCTTGCTGTCTACCTCTAAGAACTCACCATCCTCAGTGAGCATTCCCCAGCCACTTATCCAGCACGAGCTATTCAAGGGCAACACTGTTGCGTTATCTGGCAGGCAGGCTGGCCGGACATGAGAGTTGAAATCCACTGGGACATCCAGTTGTAGCAGGGTGAGATCACTCCCGAAGCGGTACTTCCTGTTGTAATCTTCATGGACGATGACCTTGTGGACTGTCATCTGCCGGCTGAACTTGGTGGGGTGGCTGAGCTGATTGTACCCTAGCAGGATGCGGTAGTCTGATGGGCTCCTGGACCTGTCCGTGGGGTGATCCTCTCAGTCCTGCATGCCACCCCATACCTTTATCGTCAGCCTGCCCTCCCACCCGGGCTTGGCCTGAAGGACAGGGTATCTGTCAGTTTTCTCCTTCCCCAGACTGGACATGTGTCCTGGGAGGGATATTTTCTCTATGCTGCCTCTCCCTGTAAGTCCCAGACAACAGCCACAGGCATTCTTGTTGCCAGAAAGAAACTTATAAGGGGCAGTGTAGGTGAACTGTATCCTTCATCCTGGAATGACAGAGACTCAGCTCATTCCCAGCTATGAGCAGACTGAAATCCCACAGAGGCCACCGTGGCCCTGCTCCCTCTTCCCTGAATCTCATCCTCTGCTACCAAGGTGCTTTCCACTGGGCACAGGCACTCCTCGAGTTCTTGTGGGCAAATGGAGGGAAGTATGGACATGAGGTCATTTTGTCTCTGGGACCCGAGCCACTGTCCAGTCCACATGTCCCTCACTTGGGCTCCAGTGCCTAGATACAGTTCCCCAGTGCCTCTCCAGCTTAAGCCTAGGCAGTGCTAGGACTCCTGGTATCCCCCAGGTCATGCTATCAGTGTTTGCTGCTTTGCTTGTTGGATGAGAAGTTTCACCAAGCATCTTATTTCTCTCTGTCCCCCATAGTTTGCATTCCATGGTGCCAGGCATGGGTGGGTGCTGAGTAAATTTATGGCACCAGCTCGATGTCTGAAAGTCACACATGCTTGATATTGTTTTCTCCTCTATTGAAAGTTGGCAGATTTCCCATTCTGGGGACACAGGGAGCTAAGGACCCATGCAAACACGGAACCGGTCTCATAGCCATGTGTCCCACCAGGATACATGCCATTGTCTTTGACCCTCAGTGTGTCCTTGGCTGTCACAGTGCCCAGAGGTGTTCCTACATAAGCAATTCTAAGGAAGTATCAGAAAGATCCTGCAGCTGCTCAGGTGAGCAGAGAACCAGGAAATCTCTGATGTGGCCGTTGTCAGAAGGGGTGGGTGAGCAGATGTGGCCATACCCTCCCCCAGCCCGCATCATAGATCTTCCACCCCCAACGAGGGCATCATCCTGGACTGTCATCCTAGCCCTAAGCACTGGCTACAGCTCCCTGACCCATCACGCGATCTTCAACACACACATTTGAACACCTGTTGAAGGAGAAGACATTTAACTAAGCCACAGAGGCACATTTTGAAATAAAAGCCCTAGAGGAGAAAACTGCCAAGTGCATCTAGAAGTGCCTAAAAATAAATACAGAAATATAAGAAATAAGGAAAGACAACACAGCTTCCCCAAAGAAATCCAAAAACACTTCAAAATTAGAATAGAAAGAAGAGATTGATGAAATGCCTAAAAAGGCATTCTAAAACGTCTAAAAGATTAACCAAACACACATAGAAACAGATCAATGAGATAATGAAATCTGCCCATGATGTGGATGAAAAATATTGCCAAGAGATCAAGATACTGCAGAGAAAACCTGAAACATTAGTAATGAAGAATTCGGCATGCCAAAAAGAACATACACTGAAACACCTCAGGATTGATTTGGTGATGCAGAAGGATGAATCCATAAGAGAGAAGAGAAATCTTTGGAATTATCACTGCCAGGAAAAAAAAATAAACAAGGAAAATTAGAAAAACTAAAAGTGGTGTTTGAGATCATTTACGAAGTACAAACAATATTCCTGAAAATCCATAAAATGAGTGGATTAGAAGTTGTCTTCAGAGAAACGGTAACAGAAATGGAGAAATGAAGGAACATCCAAGTACAGAAAGCATGTAAAACTACTAATAAACATCAGACACAATCTTCACCACTTTCAAAGGTAAAACACAAAGATAAAAGATAAAGGAAAAACACAATAGAAGTACCTATGTAAGAAACACCAGATTATCTTCAGTGGATCCCCAGTTAGAATGACAGCTGATTTCTCATCAGAAACCCTACAGGCTAGCAGACAATGGACAGTTCAAGTCCTAAGGGAAAGATGCTGTCGATCCAGAGTATGGTACCTAGCAACACAAATTTACTGTCAATGATGGTGAACCAAATGCCTTCCAAAATAAACAGAAATCGAATTTCTCAGCACTTATCCAGCCTTAGGAGTGCTGCCTAAGGATGCGCTACACACAGAGATTGATCATCAGTATGAAAGCAGGTGGAGGCAGAAAACCTCCTAGTCAAAGGACAAAGGAAACCCAAACCAACAACAGGAATATGTAAGGAAGAATGGTCGAATTGAGGCGTTACTTACCAATCATAAGAGTGGGTGTAAATCTAAATTCTTCAATGAATACAGACTGGCTAAAAGGATAGAAAATAAGGCGCATCTATTTTCCGCCTAGAAGAAACACAAAACAGTAACAACGACACACAGTGAATGTGTTACGATGGAAAAAGGCATCATGCCAACAGAAAGCAAAGCTGAGCAGATATAATCACATTATAATCACTCAAAGTAGACTTTAACACAGAAACTATTGAAAGAAACCAATGTTACATCAGAGATGTGACTACAGGGAATGTATGTGGTTCCAAGGCCTGGGAACTTGCTTTTTAAAACAACTGTAGTGGATCTAAAAGAAGACACAGATTCCAATGTGGTAATAATGGGGCATTTTAGCACCTCTCTTTCAGCAAAATAAACGTAGCTGGGACTTACTGAAATAAGCCAGAAAACAAAAAGATTATAAGCTTCCTCTGACATGTATCGTACTAGAGAACACACACACACAAAAATGTGTAACAATGAACAGTCCCTTTGGGATATGATTGTCATTTTTAGCCTTTGGGTAAAATACTCCTGTGGTTAACACACTCCAGTGGAGGTGTGATTTTGTAATCTTCTTTTTAAATATTTATTTATTCATATTGGAATTGACAAAAGAGGAGAGATAGAGAGAAAGGTGTTCAATCCACTGCTTCACTTGCCAAGTGGCCACGATGGCAGAGGCTGTGCTGCTGGTAGCCATTTGTTTCTTCTGGGTCTCCCATGTGGGTGCAGGGTCCCCAGGCTTTGGGCCATCCTCTACTGCTTTCCCAGGTCACAAGCAGGGAGCTGGATGGGAAGTGGAGCAGCCAGGACATGAACCGGTGCCTGTATGGGATAATGGTACTTGGAGGTGGAGGATTTATCCAGTTGAACTATCAAGTCTGGCCTGTCTTCTGACTATTGAAGTTGTTGATATTGTGAGTAGTGGCCACTTAAGCCCACAGATATAGAATGGATTATTGTGATGGTACAAATACTGTGGAAGACATGGGAGAGAGGCAAGACAAGGAAGGGAGGGAAGAGTGTCGGTGGAGCAGGGGAATAAGAGAACTGCAATTGTATTCTAGGAACTGGGTGTACTAAACATAAAATCTGTTCTCTATGTATAATAAAAAATTCAAGATTTGGAGAATGTTTCCATTTAGCTGTTTCAATCTGATGGGCATGTCTGTCATTACAACTAAGTAAGTTCAGTATGAGAGGAGAAGATTGGGGCGGTGTGCCCTCAGAGAGTGAGGGGGGACAAAATGTGACACAGACATGGGCATCAGATGATGTACATGGATGACATTCAGCTAGAGGGACCACTGGGGCCAAGGTGGGCACCAGCCCATACTAAGACACGCGCAAAAGCACCATATCCCAGAGCAAGCCTCCAAGGACAAGGCTGGGACACCAGCCACCCCTGCTTTCCTACCACCTTTCCTAGCAGCTACTGGTCCCAAGGGGGGCAAAGATGTACCTTTGGAAACAGTGAGCTGCAGAGAGTACCCAGTTGTTGGAGATGAGGGTGGCTCCGCAGATGTGCTGCTTGCTGTAAAACAGGCTGGCTTGCCACGGCCACCGTTCTGGTCCTGCTGCCTGGCCACCAAAAATCTTCCCTGTGACTCTGCTCCTCCCGCATACTGTGGGGACAACATCAGCAATGAGCTCCCTCCAGACCCGGTCTCTGTTCCCAAAGCTGAAATGACAGAGCTCACGTGCACAGGGGAGCACACCAGCTCCACCCTGCAGAGGTCCACCACCAGGTGGCCAGGGCCAGCCTCCCTGTGCCCTGAGAGCATGGCAGGAGCTGAGGGCTGACAGCAGGGACACCACTGTGACCCCATCCATCAGCTGTATGCAGGAACCATGCAGGTGAAGAGGAAGTGAGGGTCCCTGTCAGTAGCAGAGAGAGAAATTCAGCCTTTGGCTTGAGTTTCCAGACCCAGTGGGAAGGGATCTCAGGTTGTGGGAGGGGAGAGGAGGTTTGGGGTACAGGGGATCTGGGCAATATCTGGGTCCCGACAGCTGGCCTTCAGCCATCCACCTCTGAGGGCTCTTGGAGACACACATGGTCCTGCTGAGGCTGTCCTGGTTAATGTACCAGGTGAGGGGGAGGAGGAGGTGGAAGTGGGAGGAGCAGAGGTCCAGGGCCGACACTCCTCCCCTGGCATTCATGTGCTGTTGCCCACTTACCCGCAGCCAAGTTCTGATTGTTCTTGTTGGACGGCTTGGGTTGGGCGCTCAGCGGTGGGAGGCGCAGCCAGAGCAGGAGGGCGGCCAGTGCGCAGGCCCCTTGCCGGCCTAGCCCTGAGCGCCCCCTCCTGCTGCCTCCCATCCTGTCCGATGGCTTCTCCTGGCCCAATGAAACGCCCAGTGTGCTCGCGGTCAACAGCGCGTCACGGAGAAACCGCCTCTGTCTGGTTGGTGGTTATTCCCGAACGCTAGTAGAAGCTACAGAAAACCCCAGCCATGGTGAGGCAAGTGTGCTAGGGCACTCTGCTCCCCGGAGGAGAGTTAGGTTGCCCCCAGGCCCAAGACAGCAGAATGACCTCAGGGGCATCTTGTTTCAAGGAGCCCAGGTTGCTGTCTGGAGGAAAATTAGAGGGATTGTGCAAAAAATGATGGATATCTAGGGATGTACAGCCGCAGTCAGCTGATGCTGATGTCATATCATTGAGCCAATTCTTTCCGTTTATTTCCATGACCCCTATAGCCTCATGGGCATCTGCCTGATCCCCAGCTGCAGCAGGGTCTTGTCAGACACCCTATGGCTCACCCAGTCTGTCCAGTATTCCACCATCAACAAGGAATTGTCCTCCATACGGGCTCCTCTCAGACTCCAAAGCACTGTATGGCTCATAGGCAGTGGACCCAATCCTGCTCATCCCAGCCACCATCCAGCCTCCAATGGCTCAGGTCCTTCCCACATTCACAATGTGTGCTCCATGGGTGGAATCCCAGACTCCATTCCTCCTATTGTAGTGCTGCCTCACCACCCCAATCCCACATGTGGGTAGTTCTCCTTCTACATGTTACAGTCTTGTGTTGTTGGTGCCCTGAATCTGGTGTGGATGAGCCTCCTGGCTGGGATTCCTTGATCCTGAGTCTAGCTCTTCTGTGCAATTCAGTTACTGACATTCTCAAAGAAGGGAACAGAGAGAGAAAGTGTTACTGCTTCTTAGCAGTCTTCATTTGTATTTTAAAGCTATTTTTCTTTCAAAGAAATTTGATCGACTCTCAAGTTGCATAACAGGTGAAGCCAGCATCTAAACTGCGAACATACATATGGATTTCTGTTGGAATCTCAGCTGCTCCACTTCCAGTCCAGCTCCTTCTTACATGGCTGGGAAAGCAGTGTGGAAACCCAAATACCATGTGGAAGACATAGAAAAAATCCTTGGCCAAAACTTCTGATTGACTCTTGCATTCATTTAGGTTGTGAACCAGTAGATGGAAAATTTCTCTCTTACTCTTTCTCCCTAACCCTAACTCTTTAACAGTCAGTGAAACAGAGAGAGACCTTCTAAGGCACTAACTCTTAGGAAGCCACTATTACTAGCTATATAATTCATCAGTAGGAAAATGATCATAGTACCACAAAGAGATAGGACTTCTCTGCTCTGGGATGGTTAGAGAAAAATAGGTAGAAAAACCAAAAAGAAAGTACTTTCTTGAGGCATTGAAATGGGCAATCTTAAAAAATGTGAGGAGATGTTGAAGAATTTGATTATAGCAAATGAGAAAATGACATTGATTGATGGTAGGGAGGAAGAGCTAACCATGAAGATGATGATGGTGGTGATAATGATGATGATGATGAATGCTCACTCACTTATCACCTTGTTTGATGCATCACATTCTTCACCACCATCATCATCATCCTCCCCTTCAACTTCCTCATCACCATCACTAGCTCAACACCATCATCAAAATCCCGTCCTCCTGTCAGCATTGTTCTCCTCTGTTTCACTGTCATCACAATCACCATGTCAAATTTCCCTCCCTGTCAGCATCTTCATCATCACTCCCAACACAGTCTTCCACACCACTACTACCAGCATTCTCACCATCTGCTGCACACCATCATCACTATCTGCCACCAACAGCATTTCACACAAACTTTAGTCCTTAGTCATCATTGGGATCATCACTGTCACCTTCAGTGTCAGCATCATCAGCCATTTCAAAATAACCAACATGGTGAACATCGCCATCCTCATTACCACAGTCATCATCATCCTTACTGTCATCAGCATGACCCTCTTCATCATCAGCATCACCCACATCAGCACCATCCTCACCACCTCCCCATCATCAGGTGATGGACAGAAGAGTGCCTGCACACAGCTGACCCAAAGTCCCATTCTCCCTGTGCCATTCCCCAGGGCCAGTTGTCCTGCACTGTCTTCAGGTGAGGCTGCCTTGGTCATCAGCCACACCTGGCTAGTGTGTCCCAGCCCACTCCCCACCCAATGGCACTCAGATTCTGCTGCATCTCCCTGGCTCCTCAGACTTCCAAACCCACCATGTTCTGTCCACTCAATCCAGCATCCCTACAACATTCTCGTTCTACACCAAGGGCCACATGGAAAATGTGAAAATTACTCTTTCAAGCTTTCATGGAAATTGAGGTAAAAGGTGCATAGTGTCAAGTTGCCATTTAGCCATAACTCAGGGTTTTTTTTATGGGCAACAGTATCAGCACCTTCCATTGCTGTACAGCTGTATAGAGTGCTGTATACCACCACCACATAGCTCTGGAATGTTCTCCTCCCACACTGACATTTGATGCGCAGGCTACATGAACTCCCTGACCTCCTTTCTGCCCCCCCTGGCTCACACACCATGGAGACAGAATTGTGTCTATTGGAGGCTGGCTGTTTCACTTAGCATACCACCTTTAATGCTGAGCCACGCACTGGCATGTCACAGACTTTTACTCTTTTAGAAGACAATATATGGCCAGTGTGTGGGCATAGTGAGTTAAGCCACTGACTGCAACGCTGACATTTCAGATTGACTGCTGTTCATGTCCCAGCTGCTCCACTTGCTATCCAGCTTCCTGCTGATGGACCTGGGAAAGCTTCAGGGACGTCTTATGTGTCTGGGCTCCTGAACACACATAGAGGATCCAGAGATACTGCAGGCTGATGACATAATCCTGGACCAGTCCCAGGAGTTGTGGTCATTTGGGGAGTGAACCAGTTCATCAAATACCTCTCTCTCTATCTGCCTTTGCTTTTCTGCCTCTCTGTAACTTTGCATTTCAAACACAGAAACAAACCAATAAATAAATACAGATTTTTAAAAGAACATATACGCCATTGTTACCACCTGTTCGGTAGCCATTTGTGCATTCCAACCACTTGAGTGACTTCCTCTTCCTGGCTATTAAGAAAATTTCACTGTGAAAATGCATGTGCAAACTCTTTTCCTGAGCCTTCTTCCAGTTTCCTATGTCTACCTGTGGAAGAAAAATTCCTGATCTCTTTGAAATTGTGCATGTAATTTCTAGAGGAAGCATGATTTTTTTTCAGAAGCTGCAATATTCTTTGTTATTTTTAAAATTTGAAAATTTAACCCTGTTAAATTTTTGAATGGTCTGTTTACATTTTTTAGGATTCCCATTTCAATCCCCCCCCCAACCCACATTATTTTTCTTTCTTTCCTTCCTTTTGATTCTAATCTTCATAGTGCTAAGAAGTGCTGTTTCCTTGAGGTTTGGTGATGACTTTGCTGTTGATGGATGCTATAAGTTACATAACTTCTCTTAAGAAGTTGTGAGGGCACCTTGCTCAAGGTCAGAGAATCCACACAGGGAGAAACCCTCTGCATGTAATGAATGTGGAAAGGCATTTAGTTGTTATGCCTTCCTGGTTGAACATATGAGAATTCACATCAGAGAAAAACCCTGTCAGTGTAATCAATGTGGAAAAACCTTCAGTAGACGCCTAGCTCTTACTCTGCATCGAATAATTCACACAGGCAAGAAGCCCTTCAAATGCTGTGAATCTTGGAAGACTTTTGGCTCTGCCTCACACCTTAATCAACATCAAAAAAATTCATACAGGAAAAATGTCCTAATAAATGTGGAACCCTTTTAGAACTGACTCAGAACTGACACTGCAGCATTCATGCTGGAGAGAGACCAGCTGATTGCACTAAAAGTGGGAAAGCCTTCAACGATGCTTTAGTTCTTATTCACCATAAGAGAAGTCATGCAGAAGAGGAAACCCTGTGAATTCAATGAATGTGGGAAAGCCTTCAACTGTGGCTCATGTCTTAATCTGCACCACAGAGTTCATACTGGAGAGAAACTCTATGAATGTAATGAATGTGGGAAAGCTTTCCATTGAATGTTGTCTCTTAGGCTATGCCAGAGAATTCATGCTGGAGAAAAACCCTATAAATGTAATAACTTTGGGAAATTTTTTATTTGTGCTTCAGCTCTTAGATGGCATGAGAAACTTCATAATAGAGAAATCATCTGATTATAATGAACGAAGGAAAGAAAATACTTAGTCACCCCTCCATTTTATGTAGGATCAGTGAATTGTTTTTAGTTAGTGATTCTATGAATGTAGTACATATAGAGAAACCCAATTTTCGTAAACATCCGTTATGTGGAATAGACAGAGTTGGAGACATTTCTTCTTGATCTGTTCTTTATCCCTATCTTTGCCATCCTCAATACATACATGTGATTATAATGAAACTTAATTCAGAAAAACAGTGGATTGGTCACCCAAAGGTCAATTATTCCACTGACCAATTGATAAAACCCCTTGGGTATTTTATGAGTAGTAAGATTTTTCCCTGGGATTGAGGATTTCAAGGGTTCAGTAAGTCCAATAGTCTTTTGCCACCCACTGAGGAAAGCCTTCCTAAAGACAAATCAAATTCATAGGAAAATGGACTTGAGAGACAGAAATGTGATCCCACTGATCTCCTGGAGCCAGCCAAACTTGATGCATAGTCCTTTTTGATTTTTATGATCCAGTAAATTTCCTTTTTATTTTTGCACAAATTAAATTAGCTTTTTCCTCTTGGAATTAAAGCACCAACTTATCCTATGTTTACTGTATCTGTGAGAAACCTTTAATCTTTTATATGATATATTTGGTTATACTAAAAATAAATCTTATGACATAATAAATACATTCAGCTTTCATAAACTTGGTGAATTATTTCATTTTATTTCCTGATGGAAACTGATGTTTATTATTATGATTTACGTCATGTATAAATATTTTAAAATTCACCCAGTAAAATTTTTAAAATACTTTTCCTTAGGAGTTAAACGTACTTGTACGTGGATTATTATAGAAGAAATGG